GCTTCCATAATCTTATGATCGATTCAGAAAAAAACAGTTGTAACAAAGACAGATTAACACACATGATTCATTATTTTGTTTCATACGTTAGTTATCAATACCTTTGATAATCATGAACAAAACGTCTGACATTGGTAAGCTGTAAGACATGGTTAATCATAACAACATGTTGTTAGATTGTGACATAAATGAACAGCAAGGGAACATTTAAACATTTATACCATTTATTCTTTTTGTTTCTTACATATATTTTTAAATACTTTATCACAATTAAAAGCGTTAACATTCTAATAATTGGGAAACATATTTTATGAGGCCTTAATTCCCTTTTTTGAAAATATGAATATAATATGATTAACATCTGTTATATGAATGAAAATTTCATTTTGACCTTTCAGTTAATTACACGTATCGTTTATTTCTATACTGGAAATATGGCCGATAAACATCTGCATAATAATGTCCCTCCGTTACATATTGATTTTGTTTAACCATATAACAAATCATGTATTCTTCAAATGAAATTATGTTTTTCAAAAAGCAATACATGTAGCGTTAAACGCGTCGTTATCTTTAAAGTCTTAGACGGATTTTAGTAAGATGAAATTTTAAAAGAATTCCGTTGAAGCTCAAATGCCTAAAAATGTACATTTTTATTTTCTTAAGTAGACATCTGATGAACTTATACCAGAATGATATGCAAAAGATTGTTAAGAAACAATCACATAAAGAAATGGAAAATCTTAGTGAAAAACGATGTAACGCTTTTCAATTTTGTGTCATTTTTTACAAGAAGAATAATTGTTCTTGTCTTATTTTCCGTCCTGTCGTGTCATTAAAACCATATCATGTGCAGTCACAATCCAATCCAATCCAATGCATGACATTTAATTATTTGAAACACGTCAGCTGACATACTTTATATAGATATTACCAAAATTGCTGTAAACTTATGCACTAAAATAATATTGAAATATTTAGGTTGCTTCTCAATAATGTTATGTATCTTTTTTTTTCTTTAAAGGTATATTAATTTATTTTCAACGATTGATTTAATTGACAACCTTTGAAATTTTTTTATTTGTAAAACTGCATCCCTGCTATTAGTACGAGGGATTTGTATTAGCTTGGATGTTACTCAGCTATTCTATCTGACAAAAAATAATGCTGTTTGTGCAAGTAATTGAATTGGCAAGGATATCATATTTTCATAAAGTAATTAAAAGCAGATGAAAGCAAATTACCTGTATCTTGCTTACTTGATAAGTATTTATAAAAATTTAAATTTATTTGTGCGGAACAGCATTGCTTCCATAGTTATAAATAGAAATGGAACTTTAATGATAAATGATAAAAAAGGATAAACAAAACAATTACAAAACTTTCCGTTACAAAATGTTTTCATGTTATAAGAGATTATTAGACGCAGGAAAGAAAATCTATGGAAAATATTTTCCCAAGATTTTGCTGTTAAACAGCCACGTATTTCTTTCTTCTCATCAAACAAATCTAATATATAGTTCGCTATCATGACCAAATTTTCTTAATCCATTACGTTATATACTCGCCTTTTAAGAGGGATGTGCCCCCCTTCTATTTGGGGGTTTGAAGGGGGCGGAGTCCCCCTCATCGCCAAGAAAATTTTGGACTTGTGAGAGGCTATAAATGACCCCAGATTGATCATAAGGTAACGTGTAACCAACGCTGAAAAGCATTTGACTCTATCTCAATCCATTGAGAAGTTGCAGCACTTTGAAATCAATTTTGATGGAAAAAAATCAACGCAAAATAGTGATTTTTGGCAATTTTGAGATGTCCCCTCGTTGCCATGGTAACAGAAAATTTAAGCATGAGCATGTTGTTGCAAGGGCAATGGTCCAGTCAACATTTGTGCCAAGTTTGATTATTGTTGAAGCAGTTTTTATAGTATTATAGCAATTTGAACTTGTAACGGGAGACTTTTCAATGAAAACAGCCATTTTTCACAAAATGCTCATGAAATAATGGGTTAAACCTCATGCACTTGTGCTGAAACATACGTATTTAATTAAATAAGAATAACCGAATTTAATTTCTACCAATATTTTTATTCAAAATAATCTAATGACGAAATAAATTCATTTCACTTCCATTTAAGGGCGGACTTAAATAGACAGTTGCAAATGATTACTGCAAGAATATAAAGAAATAAAACTCGTAAACAAAAATGAAAAAAGTAGGAATGATATATATAGAGAATATTCTCATTTATAGAGAAGATAATCGAAACCCTTTTGGAGGAACATGGATTTTCGTTGTATTTTAAAAATTTAGTTTATTTGGAGACAAACATGAAACAGTTGTTATGACCTCGAGTTCCAAATTTATAATCATTCAGTTATGTAATCTAATTTAAATGAGTTTAACATGAACTAGATTTTCTGAATTTCTTTCCTTGAAATTAAAGAAACTCTGTTGTTGTTTCTTTTTCAATCTGGAAAATGTAATGTGTTTTACAATAATTATCTCATTGGCGTTACATGAAACGTTGCTAGTTGAAATTAAGTTGGAATTATTTAGGAAATAGATATTAATTCTGAGTGCATTGTTGTAGAATAATGCACGGTTTGAGTCCAAATGCGTAGTAATATAATCACGAAGACCCACTTTCTATTAGAGAAAAGAAATAATAGTCTGATCTGACATTTGTCAGAATTACATAAAAAGGTAAAGTTTTTGGAGTAAATATAATATTTCCCGGTTTTATGAACATTGCAATTGCATACTGATTAAATATATATTGAAATACATGTATCTCTATTTGTATCAAAATTTACTACGCAACACTTATTTGTGCAGTATCAAGCTCCGGACCGCCTGGTTCTCTATATATGTTGAAGCAGTTTTTATAGTATTATAGCAATTTGAACTTGTAACGGGAGACTTTTCAATGAAAACAGCCATTTTTCACAAAATGCTCATGAAATAATGGGTTAAACCTCATGCACTTGTGCTGAAACATACGTATTTAATTAAATAAGAATAACCGAATTTAATTTCTACCAATATTTTTTTTCAAAATAATCTAATGACGAAATAAATTCATTTCACTTCCATTTAAGGGCGGACTTAAATAGACAGTTGCAAATGATTACTGCAAGAATATAAAGAAATAAAACTCGTAAACAAAAATGAAAAAAGTAGGAATGATATATATAGAGAATATTCTCATTTATAGAGAAGATAATCGAAACCCTTTTGGAGGAACATGGATTTTCGTTGTATTTTAAAAATTTAGTTTATTTGGAGACAAACATGAAACAGTTGTTATGACCTCGAGTTCCAAATTATAATCATTCAGTTATGTAATCTAATTTAAATGAGTTTAACATGAACTAGATTTTCTGAATTTCTTTCCTTGAAATTAAAGAAACTCTGTTGTTGTTTCTTTTTCAATCTGGAAAATGTAATGTGTTTTACAATAATTATCTCATTGGCGTTACATGAAACGTTGCTAGTTGAAATTAAGTTGGAATTATTTAGGAAATAGATATTAATTCTGAGTGCATTGTTGTAGAATAATGCACGGTTTGAGTCCAAATGCGTAGTAATATAATCACGAAGACCCACTTTCTATTAGAGAAAAGAAATAATAGTCTGATCTGACATTTGTCAGAATTACATAAAAAGGTAAAGTTTTTGGAGTAAATATAATATTTCCCGGTTTTATGAACATTGCAATTGCATACTGATTAAATATATATTGAAATACATGTATCTCTATTTGTATCAAAATTTACTACGCAACACTTATTTGTGCAGTATCAAGCTCCGGACCGCCTGGTTCTCTATATATGTTCTGTTAAACTTCCGCAGACGTGTAATAACACTGTTTCATTATATTTCATGTTTAAAGTACCTAAAAAATTTTCCGGTTCAAAATAAATTCTACCATACATTTCGCTATACATTGAATAATGAAAAATTGCAATGGCCGATTTGATACTAATGTTTTGTATACAGCGTAAATGGTGAATCCTAAATACAACGTTGTTTTTAACATTTTGATATTCTAATATGATAACCAAAATGTATAAAATATGTTTTTATGTAGAATGTAGAATAGAACGTGCTTCCTCTGTAATCCAACACCTTCTGAGCTAACGTTTCAAACATGACTGTCGCTTCACGCTAACATAATTCACTAAATTTCATTTATGAACCAACTATTTTAAATCGTCAATATTTCCCACAGTTATTTAACATATACATGTACTATGTCAAATTATGGCAATAGTGTTAGCTTACAAGTGAATTTCGGGGTTTTAATAGGTGTAATAAAATACATCTCACTCACAGTATATCACTAAAAACAAAATGTATAGCTTTGCAGAACTTCTTGTCGCCTATGTATTAATATATGATTGAATTTCTGTAAATTATATTGCTTTTCAATATCAAAAAATTACATCGCAATGATAATTCTCAGCTTTATTTTTATTTTGGTTGGCGCAGCGAACGCGTTGCCGTTGAACGCTTGGCGTCCTTTTCTTCACATACGTCAGTTTACAATTCCTTATGAAGTTATAAATCATTCTTAAAAATAAGAAGAAATTTTGAAAAAAAAAATCAGGAAACATAAACGTCACAAACAAAAAGGCGGTAGTAAATTCAATAAAATTACACTTCGACAAACCCCATGATAGTTAACTAGACATTTACTATTACATATTTAGCAAGTTTCGTACAATGCTGACAGTTCTTTGCTTAAACAATACGTTATATGTTACATTGATATGTACCTGTATTCAGTCTTTGCTTCTTTTCGGCAAATCATATATATCTTTGTAACGTGCTTGTACGAAATAGCGCGTCAAAATATCATCGCCTAAATCCCAGATTTAGATTTTAAATATTAATATAATTTTTTTCATCGTAAGGTCTCATTTTAAATTTAAAGCATTTGCCATGGAAAATTGTTGTTGTTGTTGTTTTAATATATTTAGGACAAATAAAACCCTAAGTCTTAACTTTACTCCATAAAAAACAAACAACTGATTGCATGACCAGACGGAGAATATTTATTGCAGATAAGATACTGAGCAGCCGAGAACAAAAACAAACATAGCCAAAAACGCCATAAGCGTCATGTACAACAAATTTACCATAAAAGTACATGGTAATCATTTAAACAACTAACATTGCTGACTAATTTATAACGTTCTATGTATTATATTGTTCATGTATTTACTTTTAAACTTAACAAAAATACAATATAGCTGTATAGTATAGAAAATTGCCAGCATCTAACGTAATGAAATGTTTTAAGTACAGGCAATACAAAATACATTTATTTACGTTGTTATTTTATCGGCTATAAACGCAATTCGACTCGCCCAGGAAAAACCAGAGATATTTCGTATAATAATTATTTTTTCTGAAACTGCTCTGGAAACCTGTGTCCGTTTGTCAATGTCGAATTACTGAATGTCGGACCTCATTCTTGCCCAGTGAAAACGAAAATTAAGCTAAAGAGCAAAATTCATTAAAAGAATAAACATATGACATGTTATAAATGAGAGATAGAATGAATATATAAATATAGATCCATAAAATTATAAAACACGAGTTGTTAACGCTGTGAAATCGTCTGGTAGAGTGACCAATACACCTTAATATTTTACACGCCAGTACAGTATTAAAATCTCGAAAAACCCGTGCTACTACAACCAATAAAAATTGCCTACAAAATTACGTCACGCAAAGACAAATATTTCACGCTATTCGATGAAACGCGTGAAAATAATAGTCTTAACTTTACTCCATAAAAAACAAACAACTGATTGCATGACCAGACGGAGAATATAGAATAAACTACAAAAGAACGGGCTGGGGAAAAAAGCTATTGTAAATTTTACAAATTTGAATGCTTCGTAACTTGAAGTCTCCTCTCCAAGGAGTCGGCAACATAGCCGTCTTTGCTTTTATCGCTTTTCCATCTACCATGGCGCTTTAAGCATCTATCGCTTATACCTGCATTTGCCGCGACGGTAACACCTCCCGACCTGAGAGAGTGCAGACCCAAGTTCAAATCACCGGCTACGCTTTTTAAACGAAGCAATATTGTTTCTCTTGCTCTTGTGTAGCTTAATGGCTTATCTTTATATACTAATTTGGTAATACCTTTAGATTTGAAACATGGCCTGAACAAAAAAAATTTATCATCGATTGACTGCATGCTTATTTCTAAATACCATTTAAGCATTAAAAATGGACAAGCAACTGTATTCCCTTTCGCGACGACAATTTCACTACCAAATCTGTACTGGTCAGTCTTACTTTTACGAACTTTTAAAGAAAAATGATCATCATTAAATGCTATGTCATTACAATGTAAATTCCTAAGCTCATCGTATCTTAAAAAAGCTTAATATCCTGATAATATCATACAAAGGTCTCTGACAATTAAAAGATCTGTACTGTTAGTATGTTTCGAACATAATTCCAATAACATGTCTGTAGTAACTGGCTCCTTCTTAGTTACTGGCTTGGATAAACGACGTTTAGCAGCATCTAACAAGTTCTTCACGAACATATTTTCGGTAGGATCAGTCAAGTTTTTTAAAAGATGTGCCCATCGTATTGCATAAATAGTTGTAGAAATCACATGATAAGAACATTTTTTATCTAATAAATCTGTGAGGTAGAGCGCGACACAAATTGGTGATGCTGGAATTGCTGAATTACTTTTAGAAGATATGAAGGATTCCCATTTTTTAAAATAGAAGAAATATTTTTGATTGGTATTGTCACTCTTTGATTCTACGAGATGATTTGCCATTTTTGATGCCAAAGTCTTCAAGGTTGGATCGTTAATGCCGGCCCTCAGTACCTCATCATCTATTGTCTGTCCCAACTTCAAGCCTGCATAAAAGATAACCAATTATTAGTCATTGCACAATTCTTATAGCCATTAATGAAAACCTTAAGGGTCTGCCATCAAATATACCATTTTTACCCCTGCCTCTTTTTGTTAACACACCTGGCCGGAACATGAAATAATCAAAAATAAATTTATCTCTACGTAAACCTTCGGGAAAAAGATATGGCCAAAAAGGCGCAGATTGCCATACGGGTATAATAAGAGTACACGTACACTTGTCTTTACGAATTTTTCTCAAACATTGCATAACGAGCCTAGGTGGAGGAACCAGCCAGTTATTTTCTCCTGACCAATTTTGAGCGAAAGCGTCTACTCCTGATGTACCCGGGCACCAGAATCTTGAATTAAACGTTTTACATTTAGTATTATAATCGTATGCAAAACGATCGAAGGTATGCAAACCCCATTTGTCTTCAAGTAATTCAAAAACCCAGTCCATAATCGACCAATCATCGCTGTCGGAGCATCTACTTAGAAAATTGGCTTCTGAGTTATTTGCCCTTGGTACCCAGCGAGGAATTAAACATATGTCATTTTTTCTGCATATATTGTATATTTTTACAGCAGTTTCATGCAAATAAACCTTCTTACTGCCCGTTTTCAAAATCGGACAAACATTCTTGTTATCCGAGTTCAAAACAACTCGTCGCTCTTCAAGACTTTTAACAGTCGATAAAACAGTTCTATTCGCCGCCTCTTACTCTCTCCATGTTGAACTCAGATTAGCTTCAATATCTTTCCAACAACCTAAAATTTTTATCTGTTCAACGCCCTCTATAAAGCCACCAAATCCAGTTCCACTGGCGTCAACAAAGACGTTGGCATGATTATATACGTCAACAGAGACGTCAGCATTTTCATTGCTGAACACGTGATCTAATGAACAAACATTCATTTCTGACAAATTTTCTTTCCAAAATATCAACTCGTTCAAAACGTCGGCATTAACCTTCACCGGGGCTTCCCAGCTAGCCCTTCCCGCTAGACAACTATATAATGACCTTGACCTTAGTCGCACAACAGGACCGATCACGCATTGCATAGAAATTAATTGCCCTACGAAACAAGCAAGTTTTCTTGCTAAAATCAAGACGAAACCCCTACTTATCTTTGCAATAAGTTCATCTAAATAGTTCATAGTTCTATTCAGTCGTTCTTCGGTAATGTGCAAAGTACCGGAATTTAAGTCCCACAAATAACCTAGCCAAATCAAAGATAAAGACGGAAACCAATGACATTTTTCTTCCGCAATTAAAAAACCAAACTTTCTCAAATCAGCATTAACGAATTGACTGGTACTTAGACATTTTTCGAAAGACGACTCGCCGCCAAGTCCATCGTCTAAGAATAAAATTATTCTCAAACCCATATTTCTCCATTTCTTTACTACGACTTTCAAAAGCTTGGTAAAAATATACCCTGCTGTTGAAATACCAAATGGTAATACGTTGTAAACATAAAAACGTTTTACTCCATTTTCAAACCAAGAAAAACCTATGTATTTACGATGTTCCGGGAAAATCATTACGTGATGATAAGCTCCCCTTATGTCGAAAGAAAACAGATAATCGCCCTTTTTGAATAAATGCCTAGCAACTGACTGATCTGCGTAACAGCATTTAAATTTAAATAGATCTAAATTGATATGCCTGCAATCGAGTACGAGCCTAGGCTTCTTTGCTCTATTAAATGCTACCGTTAAGGGATTCACGACTGAAGGTGTATATTTTACCTCGCTTATACACGATTTTGCCAATAACTTTTTAATCTCAGCCGAAACAAAACCATCGTTATCTAAAGCGGACTTGTTATTTTTCAAATTTGCACATGCTGGAATACTTTTAAAAGGCAATTTGTAACCTTCATCTATAAGGTTTAGAATATGATCGTTAGCGCCTGCCTCTTTCCAGTGGCTAAGGTTTTGTCTTAACATATCGACCGGAGTTTCTACTGCGGAAACATCCGTTTGACTATTAACTGGTAGAACCGTTTTGTTCGAGGTTTTATTCACTACATGAGAATTAAACTCATTAATTAAATGCTTACACTCGTTATTTTCAAAAAACAACAAATTGTTACTTATCTTATTGAAACTCTCGCTCTGCGCCGTCTCTGCCCCAACTGCAGGTACTGCCCATTCGGCACGCCCGTGCCCAGGTTTGCCACATTTGAAGCATGTACCGGGTTTTCGGCTCCACGTTGACCGGTTCTGTAGCTGCGAAGTCTGTGTAATAGCCGCAGACGACCCTCTGGTAGGAATGTCTGTTGAATACGGTGTATAACGCTTGGCCCTGTTGCGACGTTCTTGCCGAACTTAACGGTGGGCCTGCATTTGAGCACGATAAATTTTCTTCTCGTCGTCTGAGTTCTCGGCGAGAGGATGCGCTTCGTATTCCTCCACGACTTTCCAGCCATGCTCGGAAGAATCAGCTAATTTAAGCAATTTTTGACGTAATAATGTCTATACCTTCTGATATTTTCTGTTTGGCGCCTTCTGCGTCTGCCTCGCTGAATGAATCGCCCGTGCCGAGCTCTTCCGCCTGTCGCATTTTGTCAAGCACAAGGGCGTTCACCTTGAACTGTTGCTCGTGACCCTTCTTCCTAAACGTGTATTTATCGTCCATAGCTTTGATGGTAGAAATTTGAGACTGAGAAATCTCTCTTTGCACTGTATTGATGCGCTGCTCAAAAGCTCCCAACTTCGAGTCGATAAGCCTCTCCATTTGAGACAAAAACTGATTTTCGCTGTCCATAGATCTAGACATTTACTCGGCTGCCACGTGTAGTAATAGCTTAAAAACACGAGTTGTTAACGCTGTGAAATCGTCTGGTTGAGTGACCAATACACCTTAATATTTTACACGCCAATACAGTATTAAAATCTCAAAAAACCCGTGCTACTACAACCAATAAAAATTGCCTACAAAATTACGTCACGCAAAGACAAATATTTCACGCTATTCGATTAAACGCGTGAAAATAATAATAATTCTCCTGATAAGCTGAACATTATTGCCGCACTTTGAAGATTCAAACTTATCGGCATACGTCGAATTTCGTTACTAAATTACTCAAGGGGTGGAGGGGAAAAAATTAAGTGTACCGAAAAAATTGAATAGGTGACCCCCCCTCCCCCCTCCCCCATTTATTAGTTGTTTAGACTGAGTATACACTTTAGAGGACGCTTCAAGAAAACAATCAAAAAATTATGTCGGGAATTTTTTAATAAGCAAGGATACGCAACGACGTGATGTTAAAAAACGGGCTTGAATGGTCAACTTTGACGTTGTGTGTACAAAAATTGGAATAAAATGAACGAAATTTAATCAGAAATATGGTCAATTATGACTTGCCAATTTTCGATACGCTACTCGAAAGTTCGCAAAGTGTCGCGTTCTACCTTAACAAGTATTAAGAACAAGAAAATATTTTGTTAAGTCATTGTTTACTTAGCAAAGTAAATGATTTTCTGAGGGTCAAAGTGATAATTCATACTATGTAAAGTATAAGAAAAAATTGTGTATCAAAGACTGGCAGTTGGAGTCATCTAGTTTTGATTCTGATTCCATATGATAAAGTAAGCACAAGTTAATATAATCTAAAAATTTAACGAATGAGTTTATCTTTGAAAAAGATTGTAGTATTAAAAATGATCGTAAGACGTTTATTTATGAATGACCAATTACGTTTTAATTTTAAATGTTTCGTAGAGAGGTTTTGGTTTTTGCATAAATTACGGGCATATGCTAATTTTCTGTTAAATCGGTTTCATTATACAATTAAAGCTTTATCCTGAATATATTTCATGGATATTTACAATCAAACTGTTATAAACAGTACTCTTGTCGTGCATTGTCGTCATATTTTCAGTTTAATATTCAAATCAATTGAGAATAGTACAATGTATCATTATTTAACACTTATACATCTTGACCAGAACATTTAAGACTTATTTAGTACGAACTTTCTATCTTTCTATGCAATTAATTGTCAGAATTATTGCTTAATACAGAAAATAATTGAATAATTCAAATGTTTTATTGACCTCCTATAAAAATCATAAAATAAATATATATTCCTATGGGTAAACCTGAATAAATCATTTGAGAATACTTGTACCACATTTAGTGATTCATTTCAGTTATATACCATTAAAAGGTATGTAAAAAAATGCCCATGTCTGAGTATTCTTTATAAAGTACTGTAATTTTACAATAAAAAAGGCCAACGTCATTAGCCTTAGTATTTCAAACATAGTCTTATAACCTTTCTTATGCCATTTCATCAATATTTTGTCCGTTGCTAAACACATGTATATATTACATACCAATCTAATACAATGTATTATGGACATGGCTCTCCTTGAAATAATATGAATGAATAATTGTCAAACAAACATGAAACGAGTGCGTAGTTATTTTTCATTATTATTTAATTATCTTTATAGAAATTGAAAATGGTATGAATGAAAAATTATGTATTGTTGAATAGTTTTATTTTCATTTGTTCTAAAAATAATTGTATTTTACTGTTCTATTTAAATGTGGAATATGTTCAAACAATTTATTATCCTTTCCTTATTATTTAATTATCTTTATAGAAATTGAAGATCTGTTTGCATAACATATCGTGTTTTTCAGGGATTTTTTTTATTTATAAATGTTCTTTCGCCTCATTTCAAACGCTTGCTATAAGGACATTGCTTTAAATAGTGTGTTCATTTGATTCAATGGCCACTTTTTTTTAGATATTTTATGTCTTTATATATCTTATGAAAATTTACATACTAACATAAGTTAGCAGTTAGTTTATAGTTTTACTTTTCCAATGCTCCATTCTGTCAACCAAACGTCAGTGCAATGCAATATTATAAATAGCATCAGACAATAGTTTTTGATTATACGATAAGTCTATCATTATAGAAGGTCATGTCAACGCTTAAATCGCTAAATGTATCATAAAAGCGCAACTTATAGCGTGCAAAGCCTCAATATTCAAAAGGGCAACGTCGACAATTGTTTGTTTTTTCAATTTGTGCCGTTCAAAACAATCCAGATAGTATGTCAAACATCAACTTCAGTATTTGCAAAGGCATACATGCCAGAATGACCTACATCTGTTATTGATTATAATTATGAAAACTGAAATAAAGCGATGGAAGGTTAGCCAGTTTTAAAATGAAAATGGAATTGAATTTGAATTGCACGTATTTGATTTAACATGCGTTCCTGTATATTTTTGTAATAATTGAATAATGCATTAAGATATATGGCATAATTGGACGTTCACATTGTAAAATGTTGTAAAGTAACTATTTTATGAAAGGTTGTTATGTGTTTTATAATTTGGGTAAAACAGTAAAATGATTCAAGATTTAAGTAATATTAAACATATGTGCAGTTAATGACTGATTTTTCAGTATTTACAACTATATTTTACTACGTTACTAACGCAGTAAGGGCTATTTATACACATTTTGACCATTTTTTGGTAATTTACGTGGGTTAAAAGTGCCATTTATAATGGGTAAATTGCTGCTTTTGGGTTATTTTACAATATTATCTATTTAAATATATTTTCAAAATTTTCATGAAAATTGCGTGAATCTGGAGGCGTGACACATGTCATTGAAAACATTAACTTCAAGGTCCTTTAACGCATAGCCAACAAGGCAAAGTTCAAAATCTTAATATGTGCAATATCACACTATTTTCTAACACACTATGTAGGAAAGTTCTTTTATTCGTCATTTACACTATCTGGCGCCGACCGTTAATTCTTTGAGAATGATTGAGATAAAACTTTTTTATGTGTAGACGCTTGGTTAAGTCTTGTCATTAGAGATATTTGTAAATGTACTATCCTACACGCTGAAATCACAGTCTTTAGATAGAGGTACATGTATAATATAACATGGTAACCAGAGATTATGCAATACATATATAACTGTGTAAAAATAAATAGAAAAACGTTTTTTCTGCAATGTCAAAA